CCCCCCCAGGCCCCCCACGAAACTCCTCCAAAATCCCCCCCCACACCCACCGTCCCAGGCCACCCATGCCCCAACCCCTCGACCCTCAAATGCACCACAACCTCCTCCCTCCCCCCACAACTCCACCCATACCGCGTGACATTCCCGCCCTCCAGAACTTGCGTCGAAGGCGTCTCCACCCCGCGCAAACCCCCTGGCCCCGTGGCGGAGGACGAGCAGTTGTTCAAGAGGGCCATTTGGGACATCCAGGCTGGGAGGGGGATGCTGTTTGTGTTGGAGCCGTTGTACGCGATGATGCGGTCGGATGTGCCGTGGATTTCCATGTACGGGACATTTCCTCCCCCGGTGCAGGCTTCGCCAAACAAAGGCTCCGTGAGCTCATCATCAGGATAATACGCCCCCGCGACGCCCGCGAGCGCCGCGAAGCGGTTCCCGAGGCTTTCGTTGCAAGCCAGCAAGCCCGTGAGCCCGCCGCCGTTGGAGAAGCCCGCGGCGTAGATGAGGGCGGTGTCGATGCAGAAGGTGTCCTCGAGGGCGTCGAGGAGGTCGGACGTGAATTGTTGGTCGTTGATCGTGGTGGAGGGGGACCGGCGGGGTCGCCGAGGAATTGGTTTTGGTGGCCGGCGGGGTAGATTTTTATGGCGTTTTGGGTGGTGGGTTCTTCGGAGAAGAGGGTGTAGTTTTCGATGGAGGTGGTGGACTGGCCTTGGCCGTGGTATATTAGGATTAGGGGGGCGGGGTGGGCGTTGGTGGGGGAGTAGGTTGGGGGGAGGTGAATTCTGTAGTGCCGGGTTTGGAGGGGGGGGGGGGGGGGGGGGGGTGGGGGGGGGTGGGGGGCGGGTGATGAGAAGAATTAAGATATGCAAAACTGAAGGCAACTGTTCGAATAGAGATACTGTTGGAATTGAATTGACTTACTTACTTCTTCCTTGGTAGTCGTCGCTCTGGACTCTTGGAGTGTCTTGCTTGAGGGCGGCAGATTCTCGTTCCTGCGTCGCCGGGCCAAGGATGTTCTACTGAACGCCGAAATTTGATGCGAATTGTATCTGGTTCTCCGTCTGTTGTGCAGTCTCTGAAGGTGGTATTAATTCGTTGCAACAGCCGACCAGACGATGCCTATAAAGTTGGTACGCTGCGTTGGCGGTATTGTCGGTCAAGTGAGGAAACATCCAGAGTTCATAAGTCGCAAAACTCGCTCGGTACTGCTGAAGGGACCGATGGTGTTTCGTGTTCGACAGACCTCTCGTGCCCGTCTGTCTATGCGTGAATGACTGACTGTTCGTACTCAGTCATCAATGTGAGGTTCTCGATGGTAATCACCAGAAGCAGTGGTCAAAAGTCTCTTGGAACCGGCTGTTCTCACACCCTGATCCCGACGACTAGGCTCCATCAGGGTGTAAAAGGGCGAGAGGGCCTGCATAGACGCTTCGTTTTCCTCGAATGAGACTTCTCCCTAACAGACGAAGGCCAAAAAAACGTCATCTCTTCGCCGACCGCCGCGCATAGCCGTTCTGAACGAAGCCGATATGACCGAGTCGGATGAATTCGATGCAAGACGATGGGCACGACGTGTACCGATCTTGGCTCGTACGAGCAGTGTGTATGTGTTCGGCCAGTTCCTCGCGCTTCTTGTATCCGGTCTTGGGGCCGGACATTCGGCGTCCCGACTGAGCTGCTGCTGTAAGCTCGTGTTTCCAGGAAGGCGGATCGGCAGCATTGGGAGCATCTCGCGATTTTTGGTAGTGTTTCGATACGTTCAGGCAAATACTTATGTTCTTTGATATGAGACCTCGCAATGGAGCTTCAAACAGACGCTCATCAGCTCTCTTGTCGGACAGCAAAAGACACCATTAGCAAGATAATCGAACGCAATGCTCATCCTCGTGGCCGGCGCAACAGGCAACATCGGCACCCATGTCGTGCGCTCTGCTTTGAAGAGAGGACATCAAGTTCGTGCGCTGGCTCGATCTCCTGAAAAGCTACCCGAAGACCTGCGCAACCAACTGGAGAGCTTCGTCAAAATCACTGGCCCGACCGACATCCCAAATCTCGACATCGGCTGCAAGGGAGCAGATGCTGTCATCTGTACTTACGGCTCTGACGGTGCCCTAATGCTCGATGGACAGCTAGCACTCTTGCGGGCTGCTGAACGGGCGGGTATCAAACGCTTTCATACCGCGAGTTGGAACCTGGTGTGGGATAAGATGCCGCTTGGAGTGCTCGAGAGCTACGATCCCGTCATATCCTTCACTCGACATGCGGCGTTGACGAGCCCCATCAAGCCGTTAAGCGTATTTTGTGGCGTGCTGGCTTCGACGCTGTTCGGCCTTCCTGGGGCAGGAGCCTTGGAGGGAGGTAGTGCAGTCTGGACGAAAAAAGACAATGGCGAACGAGTGATAAACCTCGTGGGAGAGGGCGATGTCCTGACGCCTGTTGCAGTCGAGGCTGATGTTGCCGATTTCAGTGTGGCACTCACGACTTCGGACCTTGCTGAGAAGGGCGGCTTCTACCAGTTCTGCTCGGATGAATTTACCTTCCAAGATCTCGCCGCGACCTACAAGAAAGTCAGAGGGGCGGATTGCAGGATCAACACCATCATGAGCGTCGATGCGTGCAGGCAGGCAATCGCCAAGGCCAGGGCAGATGCAGAGGAGTCTGGAGATTTGTATTCGCGGTGGCACCAATATATCGGATTGGTGTACGGCTTGACCTTTGCTGAAGGAACTTACAACCCTAAGCCTGTGGATGCGAGCAGGTTTCCTGACGTTCCGAGGACAAGTCTGGAGGAGTATATCCGGGAGAATGCGTGGTTGTAGATGTTCGAGGAATGTCCGCCGATGTAGGTGCACTACAGGCATGGTTCATACCCAGAGACAGGCCCACCACTACAAATTCCATTCCCAGTAGATAGGCGAAGGATAACGTCGAGTTGATGAGTCCAACTTGATGACATGCAACGTACACGTCTTCCTGCTTCTTGCTTACACTCCAAGGGCGGACTTGTTCGGGTAACGCGGTTGCTCGACCAAAATTGACCTGGATGTCCGGTCTAAACGATGGTCCTCTTCGCTACTGCATAGCTCGGTGGCCTGGTCGATCATGTCTTCGTCGTTGATTGCGGTCATAGGGTAGGAGCCAGGAAGAGACGCGTTAGATGGGTTTGTGACACCTCTTGGCACCGCCAGGCAAATGCTTCGCCCTCGATAAAGATGACTGTCCACCAATCCACATCCGTCTCGCAAATGATGCTTTTGGCGGAGGCAAGCAAGGCGTGCGAAGGTGCACCAAGAAATGGCCAGCTTCTTCGCGAGGTTGCTTGGCCTGCACAGTGACATCAGCGCGCCAAACACGACATCGACTGGAGCTTGCAGTGACGCGAGACCTCTCCTCGCCAACTGGTCGCCATCCTTTGACAGGTCCGCCGCGTGGATATTGTGGGAGCAGGGCGGCACAAGACCACGCCCCGAACAGGATCAGTCATTCACCCACCACCGCTCGTCATACCGTCGCCTGTCCCGCCTGCTTTCACGCCCTGTTACGTAGGTGCGGTACGCTTTTGCAAGCCCACAACCAGCATTCCCTCGCCGCCCACCCTATCACCGACTTTGGAATCTTCGGCATTCTGCCTCACCCCGGAATAATCAAGCAATAAAGTGGACCTGGACCGACTGTTATAAGACAAAGGATTGCTCCTCTTGGCGTCTGGCAACAGCTGTTGAAGTCGCACAAACACCACCAACATGGCAGACGTAGTGAACCAAGGTACGCCATTAGTCTTCCACCCGCGAGTCATATATCTCCGAGCAGCCACTGACTCGACCCGGCAGATCAAGTCCACAAGGACGGCACCGACCACATCAAGGACAAGGTCTTTGGCGAAGGTGAAGGTACGGCCACCCCAAAGCCAGAACCCATTGCCGCGGCCAAGCCCCCTGCTTCAAACCCAGGCGCCGACAACCCAAGTGCTGGAATCGCCAAGGATGCGGGAGGTGTGAGCGTGGCTGCTCACGTTGGCAGTCCATCTGCCGGCAACAAGGAGAAGCGCAAGAGCATCGTCGGCCAGCTCAAGGGCTTGTTCCTGGGTGGTGACAAGAAAGAGCGGGAAGCGTCTGAGGCTGGTACTGCCAAGCAGGGAGAATCGACGACTGGTGCTATCGCTGCAGGTGCGACTGGCACCGGCGTCGCTACTGGCCAGGCGGTGGACCTCCCAGACAAGACCAAGTCTACCACAGCTGGCGACTCGGCCCCCAAGAGCACGACGGAGCAGGTCAAGGAGGCGGTGACTGGTGACAAAGCGGCTAACACAGGTACTGTCGCAGCTTCGACCACCGAACCCGCCCAGACCTCGACCCAGCCAGAGACGAGCGACACCAAGCCGATAGAGCCAACGGATACCTCGGGCGACAGCGAGCACAAGCCACCAGCTCCAGCAGGAGGCAAGCCTCCGGAGAACCGCGAGGCCATTCCCACCGCTGGTGGTGAGAGACTTGGTGACAAGCACTGGGGTGAGAGCAAGATCGTGCCAGATAATCCGAAAGCCAAGACGGAGGAGTCTGCTCCTGGTGTTGCCAGCTCTGAGGGACAGCCAACAGGTAGGACGCAAACAATTTCTCATCGACAAGACGTGTACTAACATCGGGACAGACGAGGTCAAGGACAACACCGCCAAGAACACTGGTGGTGCTACCGCGGGCCCCAAAGACGAGACTCCTGCGAGTGGCGAGAAGAAGGGCAAGTTCCTCGACAAGGTCAAGGACAAGTTGCCATTCGGAAAGAAGGATTAAATCCGCTTGCAAGAGAAGCAATGAGATACCACTGATGACGCTGATGATGGAGGTTGACACGATTGTGCGTTCTGTTTTTGTGATACCTGGTGCGAGTACGTATTGAAACTGTTTTGTTTGCAATTTCTCAGGACCTCTGTCGCAGTTGTTGGTTGCTGTTCTGAATCTGGGTGTGAAACATGCTGGTAAGCACATTCACTCACTCCCGTTTGTTTTCCGTCAGCGCTAGTCAAAAGCTTAATGTAGCGCGGTCTGCCCGCCACGCTTCAAATTCGCGAAAACCATCGTCTTCACCGCAACCACCTGCGAACCTCGCACATGGCCGTCAACGCCCTCTTCAAGGCAGCCCGCCACGCGATTCTACACACGATGGATACCGAAGCACAACTCCCCACGACGACCTGCCTAGAAGGCGCAATCCCCGTCCTCAGCGGCCTCCCCGCCCTCCTCGCCAATTTCACCCTCTCCGACTTCACCATCAAGACCACCACCGGCTCCCTCGCGGTCCACCGCGTCCTCCTCTCCCTGCACTCGAGCGTCCTCGCCAAAGCCTGCGACGGCGATTTTCGCGAGACGCCACAAGCCTCCATCGACCTCGTCCATGAGCCGGCTGCTTGCGTGAAGGCGATGGTGCATTACATGTATCATTTCGACTATGACCTTCCTGAGGATGAGGAGGTGAATGCTTCGGTGTTTCATGTCGGGATGGCTTTGATTGGGGATAAGTATGATGTTGCGGTATGCTTCCCCCTTTCCAAGGTCTCTCCTGCGGTAGAATAACACCCTTACTGACATCATTCTTCATAGGCACTCAAAGACGCCGCCTCCATCAAGTTCAAAGCAAGCCTCCCCACCACCGCCGACGGAGCAGATGCTTTTGCCGAAACCCTCGACTTGGCCTATGACAATGCTGTCGCTCTCCGGGATCTCTGCAAGTATCTCGTTACCTTCGCCCTTGACAACTCGGAGGTCGGCGTCAGTGCGCAGTTTCACCCGGCGCTCAAGAAGGTCATGCAGAAGCATCCAGATCTCGCTATGAATGTCACGGAGGCGATGTATACCCGAATGAAGGAGAACGAGGCACAGTACAGAAAATACGATTGTCCACATTGTGACCGGGCCGAAGTCTTCATCGGAGACTTGCAAGCGCACACCTACTATAAATGCAGGGGCTGTGAGTGCCGCTATAGTGGACAAATGTGGCGTTCCACGTCCAAATAAGATCCTGAGTGGTCACACGTCACGCCATCCTTGATCGCATACCCACGATCATCGAAAAAACCGCGTCACCAGACCTTCCCAAGCTGTCTTGAGCAGTTGTTGATTACAGACGCTTGAATACCTGATGAAGCGTTCATATCGCACACGGAGGACAGGGCAATTCAGCTTCCATTGTAGCTCTGGTGCAAAGCCTTCGAGTTATGGCACCGTAGCAAGCAAATAAATAGGAGAGCCTGCAAAATACCATCCGACTTGAGACTCACTCCGCTCCTTCCCCATCGAGCAGCTCGCGCTAGCTGAAAGCTTAATTTTTGCAGCTGCAGCGTTTGATGTCTGTCCCAAGGTCTTGCGCATACAAGTCATCTTCAACTCCTGACAGCCTCACGTCAAGCTCAAATTCCTACCACTCCGCGAGTCATGTCACTAGACAACTCACCATGGTGTCATGGCTGACGACGCCACCCACCCCTGAAGTAGCTCTCACAACGTTCACCGATCTCGCCCGATACCACATCAACCCATCCCTCTCCACCATCACAATCAACTCCCCCACTCCCGCATACCCAGCCCGCCCCCTCCTCCTAACCCTCCCCTCCACCATCCCATCCAAAAACCCGCGCCCCTCTCCAAAACGGCAGAAACGCTCGCCACGACGAGTATGCATAACATCCTTCCCACCACTGAGATCACCGTACAGACAGACGTTCATTCATTCATCAAACTCGTCCACCTCGCCTTCGAACCTTTTCCTTCCTCCGTCTGCCCTCCGCAGCGAAGCATCACACTCGACCCAGCCGGACGCCTCGGTTATGGTGCGGGGAGGGGGTGGGGAGGAGGGTTTCCAGGGGAGGGGGGTGAGTGGAAGGGAAGTGCGGTTTGTGGCAAGTATGAGGTTGTAGTTGGAATTCAAGTCCAGCAGTTGGGAAACGAGGTCGTCGACGAGGTGTGGACTTAAGTCATCTATTGAAGAGATGGCAAGAGTGAGAGCATGCATGAAACGAGAAAGGTTCGAAAAATGTGCAAGAAAGTCTCTCTTTCTTTGTGAGGTCCCTCTCTATTCCGTGGCCACTTTTCTCTCCTCTCTAGTGACGAAGTTTCTTCAGACTGTACACATCTGATACAATTCTTCCAAACCCTTTTCCTTTCCCTTCCCCTGCCGTCCCATCCCATCCCCTGGCGACCAGCAACGCAACAAACAAAAAAAGCCCTCCTGCGCCTTCGCTGCGAAACCCACGTCGATTCTTCCCTCCCTCCTCACTTCCATCGATAGCATCCAGCCTCGAATCGCTTCCTTCCAGATGATGAGGTGATAACAAGCTTCTCGGCCGTATCGCAAAAGTTCTCCTTAAACATAAGAACAAACAAAATACAAAATACATTGGAAGCCGTGGGTCGCATGTTGTTGTTCCTTCTCCGCCTCCTCTCCGTGGATTTGAAGGTGTTGTGATGATGTGATGTGCAAGTGAGATTCCACCTGAGCGCCCAGCAGGGAAAGATTCAACACCAAAAAACAAAAGAGCAAAACAAAAAACAAATGGTATTGAACAGAAAAAAAAACCCCCGGGTATGATTTCTACGCCATCGAAGGCATCGTCGAAGCATCCGGCATGGCGGGTTTGTCCTTCTTGGACCGGCCCCAGATACTCCTAGATCTGGCTCGGCCGTGCTTCTCGTCTTTGTTGTCTTTGTCTTTCTTGTTCGTGTCCTTGCTGGACGACACTGCTGTATCGGGTCGTTGCTTCTTCTCCTTGTTGGTGGTGTCTGGGGTCTTGCTGGGGTTGTTGGTAGAGGAGGAGGTCGACTCGTCCATGTATTTTTGTTTGTAGATCCTGTGGGATAAGTTAGTGTTGTCAAATACGTTATCTTGTGGTTTCAGAACTCACCAGCTATTGCCGGCCATCGACATGCCACCGTCGGCTGCCTTTCTGTACAGTGATGCGGCTTTCTTCAGATCCTTTTTGACGCCAACGCCCTGTGTGTAACAGAAACCTGCTTCTGCCAACGCATCTGCATCACCCCAACTCCCAGCAATCTCGTAACATCGTACTGCCAAGGGTTTATCCTTGGCGCATCCCCAGCCATTCATCGAACTGATGCCTAGTTCGTAGATGGCGAGGGCGTACTGCGCTTTCCTCTTCTTTCGCTCTATTGGGTCGAGATTTGCATGGCCCGACGTTGCGTTAAGCTTGTCCTCGGCATCGGCGACATCAAGCCCAGATGTTTCAATAGCCTTCCGCAACCACTTGACACCCTCTTCCTGATTCGGCCGCATGCCCCAGCCATGTCTGCATGCAAGCGCATAAAGCAGCATCGCAGTCGGCAGTCCAGCAATCGCGGCCAGTCGAAGGTGGTAAGTTGACTTGTTGGTTTCGCCTGAGTTGTGACATGAAATGCCAATATCAAGATGTTCGTCTGGTGATAGATCTGCAGAGGGTGACTTCTTATGCAGGGGCAGTGCTCTGACAGTGCGATCAGTGCTGTCTGTTTTCACAGACGGCGAAGACCGATGGAAAGCCGCAGCTTTCTGTAATCCACGCGGATCCGCTGACCTGCTCCTTATCTCGCTCGCACCAGGCGTCAAGCTGCGACCAGACCGTCCAGTATCTGATGGCGTAGGCGATGCTCGTGCTTTTGCCTCAAAGTCTGAGTGCATCCTTTCGTGGTGTACATGCTGAGGCCGGTTGGGGTGTTGATCGTGCTCTCTATCCCAATCGAACTGCTTCTGTATCCAAGAATCCCTAAACGCCCTCGAATCCCGGTCCACAGGTCGTCCTCGCGGCAGTGCATACTTTGCGTAGATATATGAGGAGTTTGAACTCCCGTCCGGTGGAAGCATCGGAGTGTCTGGAGGTGCGAACGGTGTTGCATCATCTCCAGAACCTTGCCGTGATAAGGGTGGTTTTGATGAGTGTGTAGTGCTGCTGCTAGCACCTGATGGATGTCTGTGGGGGAGGTCGGAGATCTGTCTCTCGAAGGAAGGCCGGCTGTCCGTGGATGGTCTTGTGTCGAATGAGGGTCTTGTATCGAACGAAGGCCTGCTACCGGAGCTGCTCATCGGTCTCGAGAAGTTTGAAAAGTTGGGTGTTGGTCGTTGCAACTGCTGCGAGCCGTTGATTGAGTATTCGGATGTCATGGAAGGTGATCGGTGGATGGGTTGCATCCATGGGGAGAAGGGTGATTGTGGTCTTGAAACACCACTGCTACCAGAGAACTTGCGTGATGATGATAAAGCGTGTGAGCCGCTTGTTGACTGCCCATCTTCGTCGCCGCTGTCTGGAGGCACAGATCGTATACTTTGGAAGCTGCGTGGTGATTTTGGGTATCTGGGTGATTGTGGAGGAGCAAGACCTCGATCTGAAGTTAGGGAGCGCTGCGATCTCTGCGAGCCATTGGTCATGGTCCTGGGGTGTGTGGATATGGTGTCGATGCTGCTTGTTAGGCTGGGGAAGGCATTGGGTGAAGGTGCCTGCACGTTGATCATCTTGGAATCCACCGGCTCTGGCGACGCTGCTCTTGGCATGCCAAAGTAATCAGGACCGTCTTTCGACGATGCCGTGGCTTCTGGATTCTCAACCGCATCGAAGTATGGCGTTGGCAGCGCAGGCACCTCCTCATCTGCGCCCGCATCGTCCAACGTCGGGTAATGGCTTATAGGTCGCTCTCTTTCCGGGTGTTCTCTGTTCGAACCGTCCTCGACTCTTCCTCGCGATGAGATCGGACTTGACTCTTCGCTCGCCTCATCCAAATCAGTCATCTTGCTCTCATTGCTGATGCTTCTGAAATATCCCGGGCGATTCTTCATCTCCTTGGCGACCATGGTCGGCGGTAACCTGCTCATCCTCCTCCCATTCTGCGCCTCTTCCTCAAACTTCTTCGCCAGCAGGCGCGAATGCATCGCGAACGCATCGAGCGGCGACAGCGCAGGCGGAATCTCGCCCGTTCGCGGGGAGGGGAGGTTGTTCTGTCCGGCGAACATTTTGGGCGGTTCGAAAGCTTCAGGGCGGTCACGGCCCAGATTCAGATTGGCGGGTCGCCGAGCCATTGTGTAGGTACAACAGCAGTCTGCTGCGCCAGGTAATCATGCGGCGAGGATGTCGGCAGAGGAGTGTGCGCGCGGTCGGCGGAGGTGCTGCGGCGAGGGGATCGGCGGTGCTTTGTGTGTCGCACGGGGCGGGTTGTTTGGGGTGGACAACAATGGGTGTGGAACATGTGATGGCAAGCGAACGGGCGGGCGTGGGTGGTGGGTGAATGTGTAGTGGTGAAGGAGTGGACGGCGGCGGCGGAGCACTGCCACTTGCGCAGGATGGGATGGGATGCGGCAGAGTCAGAGACGGACGGGATGCAGGTCGTGTGAAGGCGTGGTGGAGGAGAGGCGGCTTGTTCGTGTCCAGGGGCAAACCGCAATGTCTTGGCTCAAACTATGCGGCCCAGCCAATCACGCGCCCGCATCTCCTTTTCGAGAAGAGGCTCGCCTTCTAGCGCGCCGATGCAAGCTGACGCCGACGTGAATGAACTGCCCTGCGAACACGCCCAGTGGCTGCTCCCCGTCAATCCAGATCTCCCCCATCGCCACCACCGTGACGCGTGAACACAGCGCGGTGCGAGTGGCGGCGATTGATTCAAGTCGCACAAGATTCACGACGTTGCTGGACCTGCATCCTGGCCGTTAGGAATCCGGGGCCGGCTGGCACTGCGTATCGACTTGCTCTAAGCAATCGCCACTCTATTTTAATCTCCGATGCTCATGCAGGTACCCCGGCAGCACACCACCTCACCTCACGCCGCAATCCTCCCCACCGACAATATCTTCAACAGTACTTTCCATTCAACCATGGCCACACAAGCTATCAGTACTTACTACAAGTTCTATTTCATGACACAGAGGGAGCTCGTACTGTACAGTACCGTACGCCCACACACTCTCCTCAAAGACCGTGCCGCACTGCCGAGGCATCCATCCAGCATCTTGCCTGTAGCCGTGCTGACAGATTTTGATCTCGACCCTCAATCATCACATCTCCGCCTCAATTCTAGATGTCTTCTCTCCGTTTCAAACCCGTCTGCAAAGATGGCTCACAGGTTTGATGCACGCCAAGCCAAACCACCAAGAACTGTAGAAAGTCGATGCCTGGGCCAAGCGCCCGATGCGGAATCCTTCGCGCTGCTGTAGGGAGGATGCCATTGGTATGAGGATGGAGTGGGTAGGTGTACAAAATTCAAGAACCCCAATCCATCTGCGTGAACTTCAATCGCTCCTTATAAAAAAAAGAAAACGCCTTTTACCAAGAGCACCCTTCAACGCCAAGCCCCACCTGCAACACTCTCCTCCCAGCATCAACCCCGCAACAGCACAGCATAACACTCCAGATCTTCCAGACCCTCCAAAAGACCCTCCTCCTCGCCACAATGAGCTCCGACAAACCCAACGCCCAAACCCAAACACAACCGCGCTCCCGCCGCGCCTGCAGCGATCCCATCGGCAACGGCATCGTCGGCGAAACCACCACCTCATCAAGCGCATCGAAGGGCTGCGGCGTATGCCACAACAACGACAACTACGGCTACGGAAGCAGTGTATGTGGACGGTGTAATCGGTGTCATGGATGCGGAAGTTCGAATAATGGCATTGGGCCTTTTCAGGCGGTGTATTTTGGTGGGAAAAAGGTCGTGAGGAAGGTTGGGGAGGTTGTTGGTGGTGGTGGGGGGAAGTAAGAGAGAGGGAAGGTGCGAAGCTTGTTTTCACTTCATGTTGTGCGATTTTGCGCTGCATTATGAAGTCTTGCAGCGACTTCCCTCCCGCTGTCATGAGCAGTACGTCTTAGTCTTACATCTGGCATCTCACAGACACTCTTCCTCCCTGTTCAATTCTGAGGCGGTCACCATCTCGGCCCAAAAGCCTCGCACCACCCGAAAGTGCAGAGGGGGCTTACTTCTCAAAGGCTCAGGCGCTGTCGGAGGGATATGCAATGTCCATGTTGAGGTCTTCGACGAGTCCTGATGGGCGGGGCATGGTGGGAGAGGACCTGAGGGGACCCATGTGGGTTCAGACACATTGCTTGCTCTGATTGAGTGAAGTTTTGGTTGTTCGCCTACTCGCCTTAGAGGAGTGACTAGAAAGGATGGTGTTGAACTTGGAAAGCCTATGCTGTGTGAGGACGGAGAGGTAAGAGTCACACTGGTCTCAAAGTTATTGTAGACGCCTTTTGGAGAACCGAGCGGAAAGATGGTGTGCGTGGACGCGAGGCACTTTGATAGGTTATCATATAGCATGTTTGTCTCATTACCATCTCCAAACCTCGGCTTTTCTGAAGTGAGTGAAAGTGCTATCACTCTCGCTCATTGCATACCATCCTTGTCGAACCGTCAATCAGACATCATCCTCCTTGTCGGCCTCGTTCTTCTCCGCGATGCGCCTGAGTACAGCAACAGCAAGCTGTGGCCGCCTCTCAAAAACCTCCAGCATACCTTCGACATCATACGGCTCAGTCTCCTCGCCTCGCATGTGGCGCGCGCAGTAGTCGATCAACCCCTCCCACATGCCCTCTGGCAGATCCTCAACGTCGATCATAGTAGACGCCAGCCGCACAGCGAAGTGCGGATCCGCTGCCTGGCCAAGCCAGAATGCCGTCGAGTGCACCACGTCGTCCTGAATAGCTTTGACGTTGTACATGTGCGCGAGCTGGAACAGGTCGCGCCGCAGGCCGAGGTACTCTCTGAGGCCTTCGTCGGTGTACTTGTCGACTCGACCCTTCTCTTCGCTCTCGACAGAAAGCTTGCTCTCCCCGGCATAGAAGAAGTCCACCATTGCCTCAATGCACCGATCGTCGACCTCTTGAATCACCACGCGGCCTCGTTGGCATTCCTGGGATCTCGTTAGTGCCCGCCGTTTCGCGATTTCTGGCAAACTCACGATGAACTCAGCCGAAGTGCTCATGCGATACAGCACGTCTGAGTGAAGGCGCAGGATGAGCTTGTGGACCCTCCATTCCTCTCCGGAGCTCGATGCGATGGTGAAGTCGGCGAGGGTGTGGTCGTGGCGAAGCCTTTGAGCATGGTGTGTTAGCGAACGCCACCTGAACGTTTGATCGTCATTTGACGTACTTTCCCAGCTCGAGGAGCGCATCGTTTGAAAGCGACATCTTTCGGGTGTCTGTTCAATTTGAGATTTTTGTTTGGTGTGTTGTGGTGCAAGAAGGTGAAGATGAAGCTAAAGCGGGCGAATTGAAGTTGAGCGAGCGCGTTCACATGCGAGACGCTTGGACCATAAGCTCATACAGCCGGAGACGAAATTGGAAGGAACGCAAACATGCTGCGGAAGCTTCTGTACAACCTGATACGCTGGAATTGTATTCAATACTGGATATTGGCAGCCTCAATCTCTGCTCACTGCGCTTTCCCTGTCCGATTCTGGTTCTCTGTTCGGTGGAACCCTTATGCGTCTAGTCGGCACCTCATGTGAAGAACTCCTAGAGTCAATCATCCGAGTCATCATCGTCAGACTGTCCATCATTCGGTTGTACTTCATTGTCATATGTCCCCACAAAGTGCCGCGCAGCCATATCATTCGCAATAGCCACCGCAAGCTTGGGATGCTTCGTGAACAGGCTCGTAGTCTCTGCGACGGTGTATTCGTGATTCATTTCGAGAACGCGCACAACAGCGCGTACCATAGCCTCCCATATCCAATCCGGCATGTTGTCCTGCTCATCGAATGTGTCCAGAGCTCTGTCGATCCACTTGATATCCCTCTCCTCGTGAAACCACTCCTTGAAGCATTCCGTGGCCCAATTTTTCAGTCCTTTGACGTTGTACATGTCTGCGAGCAGAACGGTATCGGCGAAGAAGGCCATATGATCGGCAATTGAGGGGCTCGACTCGTCGTTTTCAACACTTGCTTGACTGATATATTCGGTGAGGCAGGTCTTGGGGTGGTAGAAGTAGTCGACCATGGCGTCAATGGAGCGGTTTTCGACATCTTTCAGTGTAGCACGTCCCTCCTGGCATTCCTGCGATATGACTTAGACACTCGTTTCAATGAAGAGGTGCATAGGCAGTCCCCAACCACAAAATCCTCCGAAGTACTCATGCGGTAAAGCACATCTGAGTGCATGAATAGGACGACCTTGTGCGCATTCCACTCCTTCCCGGTACTCGAGCACAAGGTGAAGTCAGATACGCCATCGTCGTGCTTTAGTCTGAAATCAGGGCCGCTGATTAGCTGAGTCCGCGTGAATGGCGAGCCTAGAGTACTGACTTTTGAAGGCCGTCCAAAACAGCTTTTGTGTGCTCCTCCATGTCTGACGACGGGGATCTGTGAGGAGGTGAAGTCTGTCGTCTGGGATATGCAAACTGTGATTGTGATGTTGTTAAAAAGTGATTTTGTAAAAAGTCAGAGATGGAAGTGTCGAAGAAAGTGCCGCGGTTCGTGTGCGAAGCTTCCACCGAGCATGTCAAACGCCGGGGGAAGGCACAGAAACAGTCGAATGGCAAGTACGTGGAAAGCTCAGTTCGCTTGTGTGTTATTGACCAACCCAGCTATTTTCGTTGTTCTTTCTTGCAACCTCCAAACTCAAGACAATTGGAGATTCGTCTTGACCTTCGAACTCATCGCCTTGCGTCTCTCAGAAAAAGCACCTCTAACCTCCTTCACGGATTAGGACAGTTCGTGCGGTAGTGAACGTTCACCAAATCCTCCAGCACGCCCATGGCGAGGTCAGGATACTCCTTGAACATCTTCGCGACGTCTTTCGGCTCATATGGGTGTCTGCTCTCGAAAAGGTGTTTGAGACTGTATCGTATCGTGTCCCAGAACTCGGTTGGGCCGTCAAGCTCAGACAAAGCATCGATTGCGAGTTCCATGTGCTCAACAAAGTTGCGGCAGCCGCGGAACTCAAGGTACACAGTCCTAGCCAGCTCCTTCATGCGACCCATGTTGTACATGTCTCCCAGCTTCCACATCCCGATGAGCATGTGCATATGTTGCTTGATTGAGTCGTAGTCCTTGGGTGAGCCCGTGTGATAAGGTCTGAAGTCTTGGGGATCGTACAGGTAGCGGACCATGGCCTTGATAGAGTCCGCGCAAACTTCTTTCAGGGTGACACAGCCGATTTGACCTTCCTATGAGCGACGTCAGCAAAAGGCACCAGGAATACTCGAAGAACGAAACGGCCACACGCACGGCGTAGTTTTGGGAGGTACTCATTCGGTAAAGAACGTTAGAATGCATGAACAGCACCAGCTTGTGAACACGCCATTCCTTCCCATTCTCGGCTACCAGCGTGAAGTCGGCGAGTTCGTGGTTGTCGCGCAGCCTGTATCACGAGTCAGCATCTGTAAAAACGGTCATTATAGGGGAGCCTGACCTCTTCAGCGCTGCCTCAACGTTGTCCATGCTGGCAGCAGTAGATATTAGGTGAGTTGGTGGTTGGTGTTGGAAGTTGTGGTGGAGGAAGTTGAGCGCGGAAATCTGTGGCTTTGAAAGCGCGTTTGCACATGCGGGAAGCTTGGACCATTTGCAACTCAATCCGGAAGGAGACTAAATACAGAGAGATCTGGAAGAATCTGTTGTCCAAAAACAACTCGCAATCGCTATCTGAGGATTCAAAGTACGGAACAATCAACTAAACACAAAGGTCTCAAGCCTACAACGCCAAAACTTCGAATTGCCAAAATGCCACGCCCACGCACGCCCACGCTCGGCTCATCAGCGCGAAGGCAACTTCAAGTTCTGAAAGCCTCTCCGAGCAGCTTCCTGCCGCACTGCTTGAGCGAACTCTGGATGCGATTTCACAATCTCGTCAAGTCCACTGGGATGCTCGGCATTCAACACCTCGGTCCACTTCTCGACCATCGCCTCCCACAGCTCATCTTGCACCCGAGCTCGAATCTGACAGACAGCATCGACCGCATCGCGCACACGTTTCAGGCCATCGTCGCTGCCAGCGTCTTCTGGGTAAACCCACGTTTGAAACTTCGCCCGCACGTTTTCTTCTAGGCCATTTATCGTGAACCGTTGGGCAAGGCTGAGAAGTTCGACGACATAAGTGGCCCTATCTTTGACATCCTTGCTCCACCACACGAGACCAGTTTGGCATATAAAGTCGACCATTCCTTGGATAGAAGAGTCTTCCACAGCTGGGATTCTCACATACCCGTCGTGAAATTCCTTCGCGTCTGTTAGCTCAATACGCAACAGCTCTGCTCGACGAGGAACATACCATCCAGCTTGGGGATGTGACCATCTTTTCGAAGACTGGGGAGTATATCGACAGTGCCCCTTTCGGTGCTTGAAACTTGGTGCCTTTGTCACTTATAAAGGTGAAATTCGGTCCCGTGGAGCCTGAGTCCGACATCTGAAAATGATTCGACAGAGGTGTTGGATTTCTTAACACAAGGTACTCTGGCTGGGGGAAATGAGGCAGTTAGATGATACTGTCTGTGAAGTGCGAGATGGAGTCGATGCACGGAAATTTTCTGCGTGGTATGGTGAAGAGTTGACGTGGTAAAGCATACTGCAAGGCTGGAGGTTGGTTATGTACTTGGTCTAGTCAATGCAGATCTCTGCTGCTTATATAGGGCGAAGATACAGTATTCCACGGTGAGTTTGCCATGTCGAAAGTGACCATGGTGAGTTTGTCTGTAGTGATGATCAACTCTATCAACTACATTCCAAGTCAGGAGCAAGCAAACGTTCGGCCACCTGCACCTCTACATGACTTCGAAGCAAAACAGCGGAAGAGAATTGAAGCAGGCAAGTGTTGGACCACCTGCAAGTTTACATGACTGCGAAGCAAAAACGCGGAAGAGAAGATCAGCAGGTCTTTATACCCACAACTCCAAAACGCCACATCCGCACTGAATGCATGAGCGCAGTATCTAGCTCGCCTGCGAATCTCTTGTCCGAGCAATTTCCTCCCGCACTGCCTTAGCAAATTTTGGTCGCGAGTTGGCAACCTCGTCGACCCCCTGGGGATGCTCGACAGCCATGAATCCCGCCCATTACTTGATCATCGCCTGCAGAAGCTCATCTGGCACCGCACCATCGTAGATTGCGTGCAGAGCGAGAAAGCAATACTGACTCTTCGAACCTATCTACTTGGGTCTCCCAGAATGACTTCAATTCGTGAAAAGATGGGGGCACTGAAGACTACTTGGATGAGGAATGGTATCGTAGAGAGCTAGGAGGTTGACGTATGATGTCGTTCTCGAGATAGAGGATTGACTGGGTCCACGGAAGACCAGAGATTCGTACGTTGCTGTGTCGAAGGAGTCGAGGCTGCGAGATGAAGTCCAGGATTCAATGTTGACCGTGTAGTCCAGGTAGTCAATGCAAATCTCTGCTGCTTATATAGGGTCAGTGTTCGATGGCGAGTTTGCCATGTTTGTCTGCGGTGATGATAACCTACATCAACTACATTGCAAGTCAGGGGCAAGCAAGCTGCAAACTCGTAACCACCTGCACCTTTATTGATTTCCGAAGCAAAACAGTGGAAGAGAAGACCAGCAGAGCAACATCACGCGAAGAGGGAAACCATTGTAGGATTTGATGATCAACAGTGCGTGAAATGCTTGCATGAGGAAACTGTCATACGCCTGCTACATGGCCGCTCCGTCCACACTCGATGCAACACAGATTCTAATTCGACTGCTCAGGAGCTTTATGAGCGACCCTAATACGAACAGCTTCAGAAAACCCTGGATAAATGCCAAGGATCTTGTAGAGTTCGCCTCGACCGTTTGATTCCTCGTTAGTCAAAAAAGTCGCCCACTGATCGACCAAGAGTTGCCACAACGCTGCTGGTACATGCTGATTCTCACAGACCGCACCTATGGCCTGGTGCACGTACTGTGAATCGTCGGGACCTGTGACATCTTTTGGGCACGTCCAATGAAGAAAGTCGGCCATTACAAGTTCGGCCAAGTCCTTGACCAGAAAAATGTGTGCGAGATTCCAGAGCTCGGTGAAATGAAGGGCTTTGGCTTCGGGATGCATGTTCCACCAGTCGTACGTTTCGTCGTACATGTGGCATTTCAGTGCCTTGACAGTGGATGCCTTGTAGTCCTGGAACACGTAGCGCCCGGTCCGAAACTCCTTCGATTGTGTCAGCAGGTATCGAAACGCATTTCTGGGTCTCTGCGAAGCGGCAACGTACGTCGTAATAGGGATTGGTAGTCATGTTCCAGAAAGTTGGGGAGAACTCCGCCATTACTGCTCTATGCACCCCAAACTCCTGGCCAGTGCTGGATACCAGTATGAAGTCGGTCGGTTCGTTGCTACGGACCCGGTCGTCTGCCATTTTGCAAGGGGTGAAGGAGGTAATTGTTTTGACGATCACAGTGATGTTCTCGTACAGGGATACGTGGTTGAAGATCGCTACCGTCAACGGGGTAGTCTCAAGACAGATGCTTTGAGTTTTTCTTTCTGTTGCGTCGAGAGGGTTGATTTGGAAGAAAGCGTAGCAAGGCTGGGGGGCAGGCTGAGCAAGTCCGTGTCTACATGGGCTACTTATATAGGCTTGGACTGTGGCATCTCAAGTTTCGTTTGCCTTGTTTGTCAAAGGTCCTGACCAAATACTCGCCAAGTCAGGCGATGACACTGAACCTAGTCGATTGCCTTGTCCAAAGAGTAAGCTGCCATGCTCTACTCGCCTTTGCTCTTCTGCGACTGGCCATTGGCAACACCGGACAATCGACCGAGTGCCATCGTACCTGCGTGCAGTGTGGAAATGTCAGTCCCGTGAGGCTCCGATTCAGGGGTTGAGCAGGCAATGCATTCAAAGTAAACTGTTATACGCCTGCTACAAAGTTGCTACGTTCACACCAAATGCATTGCTGCAAAACCTAGTTCGCCTTTTCAGAATGCATCTGGGCGATTTCTTGCCACACGGCATTAGCGTACGCTGGATGCCGATTGATGATCTGCTCGTATCGATGCCGGTCGACTGGGTGCCCTTCAGTCAAAAAGATCGCCCACTCCTGGACTATGACATGCCACAGGGGGCGTGGCATCTGAAACGTGCAGATCAAGTTCATGTCTCGCTCCATATCTCGCCATTGCCCATTGTTGGACGATGTCCACTCTTTGAACTCCTTCATGACTCTTTCTCTCAACCCCTTGATGTTGTAGATATCGGCAAGGCATAAGAGATCTGAGAAAAACTTCGGCCTGACTCTAACATCTACTTCGCCCCATTCAATATCGCGGCCGTACATGTACTTGAGCAGCTCCTCAATGGCGTAGTGATCTATGGCGGGGAGTTCCAGGTAATAGATTTCCATGTCCTATACTTTGGTTAGCTGGAGTTGCAACATGTACAGGGTCTCAGCTCAGGCGTGGCATACGGAGCAGTACTCCGAGAGTGCTGCTACATGCAAGTCGCTGGACCAGTTCATTATTGTCGACAAGTGCATCGGAATCCCAACAGCGTCGTCGGGCTTCAGGAAACAGTCCGCTCCTTTGAGGGTATCGATATCTCCATGGTCTGCCCCTTTTGAAAGGGTTGAGGGACCTAGTGGCAGCTTTGAGGATCGATTTTGCTGCGACATGGTAGAAATTGAGAGCTGGGACACTGCTAATTGCGTCAAAACATGAATAGGGTGCTCGAACGTGCCTTGAACGGTACTTTGATCGGCATAATGTGATAGAAAGTGTTGCAAGGGCGGAGATTTCTGATCTTCTTGAGCTCGCCAATATTGATCTCGGCTGCTTTTATAGGGCTGATCTGACGTGTGCCATTGTGCTTTTGTCGTTTGTCTGCGGCGGTGATGAACTTACCCTCAAGTCAGGTCCGAGCAATAGGAGCAGGTTGATTGCCTGTATCCAAAGACCAAGACGTCACGCTCTACCTACATTTATCCAACCATTACTGAGATACAAGCGTGAGCCATCGCCACTGCGTGCAGTTTGTCCATGTTTTCGTCAGGAGGTCGTAGCAAATGAGCTGAACAATATGCTTGGATCCACGCGCAGGGTCGACCACGATGCCAGGCCCAAACGTGTTCTGTGGAGCATTGAAAACCCCTGATGCAATTACTGGACGATTTTTCACGTAGAATCGTTGGAAACAAAATGCAAGCGAACCCTGAAATTCTCTGAAGCCCGCTGTCACATGCCAAAAGCTTGGACCAAACGCTAACGCACTTCAGCGGGATACTCGATATCGAGCCAGGGTTCTAGAATTTTTTGAATTTACTGGCTTGCCTAGTATTAATACTCCTGAAATTGCCTTCTGGTAAGCACCGTGAGTCACGATCCGAGCCTAAAAAGCCCCTATCAAGTCTCTCGCACACGAGACTTCCGCCTACCAACCTCCGTCACAACATCTGCAGCCACATCTGGACGCAATCCCAAGATCTCGCGAGCTTTCTTGGCGCTGTAAGGGTGCTTCTTCGAGAGCAGCGTTGCGAGACCCTCCACCATGCGCTGCCAGAACGGGCGAGGCAGTTCGATCCCGCAAACTCGATGGCTGGAGAGCCTGACTTCTCAAGCGCCTTTCCATGGCTTAAGGTAAGTCTGGCATTTTCAATGACTTGCTACAAAAGCCTGAAGTAGTTGTTGGATGGTCGGGTGATTGTGTAGGAGGGAACTGAGGCTGGAGTGCGGTGTTGCCGAGAAGAGGAGCGGCGAAGCGAAGTTTGAAATTCTTGAAAGGGCGAAAATCACGCGCAAAATGCTTCATCCATTGGGTATTCCACTGGATGCCAAAGTGAGAAGGGGAGAAGGACAGTGTTGTTGCATGATCTCTTCATCTCCTCATTGTAGCCACTGGCCGCTTCTGTCGTGCAGGACGAAATTAGCACGCTCCATGGAACGTGTCTAGGGCCATCTGTTCCCCATTATGCTTCTAGCCACCTCTTTCAGTACTTCTGCGGCAAACATGGGATAGTCATCGAGTACCGACTCGATCTTCTCCATGCCGCATGGGTCGTCGTACATCAGCCCAGCCCTAAGAATATTGGCCCATTCTCCGACAACCATATTCGTTATCTCCCCTGGCACATCATCCTTGCCCTGAACTGTGGGTACGGCAGCGCACATGGCATCCACATATGGTCCGTCGAAAGCCCATTGTTTGCACTGATGCAATACGTCTTGCTGCATACCCTTCACGTTGTACATATCCGCCAGGCGCCACAGTTCGATGTAGAGCGGGAGCATGTCTTCGAGATTGACCTGAAGGTACGAGAGGTCAACGTCCGCAGAGTACATGTAGTCGATCAGAGCTCCAACAGATCTGTCTTGTATGTCCTGCAGCACCATGCGTCCGTTCTGGCATTCCTGATCAGGATTTAGTGATTTGGCGCGACCAGTAAAGGTTGTGGTGAGGGCATCTTACCATAAACTCCTTGGAAGTGCTCATGCGATACAAAACGTCGGAGTACATGAACAGCACAAATTTGTGCACTTTCCACTCTTTGCCACTGCTTGAAGCAATAGTAAAGTCTGCAATCTCTTTGTCGCTGCGCAATCTGCGAATCGAGGGTCAGTACCCGTGGCACACATATGAGTAGGAGTCCACCAACTTTGCGAGAGCGGTCTCGACAATGCGAGATCGCTCTGACATTTTGCGTTCGCTATCGCGCTGAAGTGTGCGGCCTGCCTCCAATCGGCCGTCTTGCGCCAGATCCATCCACACCAGCCAGTATCAGACGGGATGGGAGCGTGGTGTTTGGTGTCGAGGGAGCAAGGGAAGTCGGCATTTGGAAGTTTGAGAAGCTAGCTGGCACAGGAGGAAGCTCGGACCACGCGCCAAGCCACCAAAGACGAAAATGGAAGGAACGCTTTTAAAGTCAATGTCAATTTCGCGACCACCGATCCACGAAAAAAGCACGCCCCGTATATGCGCCCTGTATGCTTTGTCTCGCACACCTAACGCCTAGACTCAAACCATGACCTCTCACTCTGAAGGCTTCCGAACCTTCTGCACGTCCTTTGCAAAGTCCGGATAACTCTCAGCCAGCGTCTGCCACTTCTGCTTATCTTCGTCACTCGCATGAGCGATGATACTCACCGTACCATCGACCACCAACTTCATCATCGGCGCCGACAACTGAAGTCCCTCATCGGCCGTAGCTGCCAAGACCATCTCGACGTGTTTAAGATCCTGGCGTTCGTTCTGAAACCAGAACTCGAACGCCTTGAGCACCTCCGTCTCAAGCTGGCCGATGTTGTACTTAGTCGCCAGGTAGTGGAGATTGGTGTAACCGCTGGCGGCAGCCGTTATGACAATATCTTCGTTGCCCTTGTAGAATTCTCTCGGATACCACAATCTTCTAGGCCGGTTTCCGGACATGTGGTCGATGAGGGCGTCAACGGAACGGTCTTGAACTTTCTGGGGCAAGACAATGCGGCACTTGTTTTCAAGGGCCGTGCCATAGAGCTCTTCAGAGTATGTGATAAGGGCCTCCGTGGTGACCTGCCACGTGTTGCCGGACGCAGATACTAAGGTAACATTGACCGTTGAACCCTCGGGTTGCGCGTTGTCGGTTGCGTTGTTGTTAGTGATTTCGACCATGTTGAAGTTGGCTTGGTCGTATCGACGAGGTTCGCTGGTAGCTCTGATGAAAAATTGAACGTTGCTGAAGTAGTTGTTGTGATGGTAGATCTTGCAATGCCGGATGTTGAAAATATGTGAAGAATGAAAGTCAAGGAGGCTCCAAAAGCGCGGCTTAGATAGAGACCAAGATGCTCTATCACACTTTGTAGGTCTTGCGCATCTGTCACGACGAAGCGTGAGCAAAGTGTGTACAAACACGCGATTTGTGATTGCACTCGACGAATGTTCAGGCCTACTGATCTTGCAATCTGTTTGTATATCCTCGTACAGATTTCACAACCTCTTGATTGGCGCGTTGGCAACCAGGAGGGCTATCGCTGTGAGGGTAACATGCATGTGGAGATGTTTTGTCTCGGGAGGGCGACGAATTCACAGCCTGATTAGTGAAGAAATCCGAATATGGAAGTGGGAAGAAGGCTGAAAGCAAAGCCCAAGTTTCGCGATTATCATCTCAAATGCAAAGATCCCATGATGCCATATCTATCTATACCGACCCCGTGTTCAAGCCCTGCTCCTTCGAGCAAAGTCAACCTGTTTGTACAGCCGCCGAGCTGCACTAGATTCCCGCCCAAAAGCCCATGACGTGCGCGTCGTGTCCTGAAAATGCGCTCTCAATCTGATACCGCGCCATATCCGTGCTTTAATTGCGATTCGAAATCTTCCCATTCATGTCCCTCTTCAGCGCCAAAGTCGCCTTCAACACATCCACCGCAAGCTCCGGATGCGCTTCATCATCGCATGAACCCGCTCCATGTCGATCTGCTCCTTGTGATGCAAGAAGAACGCCGTCTCCTTCGTCACAGCCTCCCAGAGACTCTCTGGGATCGTGTTGAACTCCGCAAAGGTGTCTAGCACGATCTCAATGAGGTCGATGTCACTGTAGATGAACCAACCCATGATGCTGAAGTACGCGAAGTCGAAGACAGGCTCGATGTTGTATAGATCGGCCAGGCGGCAGAGACCGATGAGGATGCGTGTCTCGGCCTTGCTTGCTTCGACGTCTTCGACGCCTTCGAAATACAAGATGCAGGTGTCGATTTTGACGGTCAGGCTGTACATGTAGGCAACGAGGACGTCGATGCAAGGATCTGCGGCATCTTCGAGGACGACGCGGCCGTTTTGGCACTCGGCGAAGTTCTCTGCGGTAACCATGCGAAACAACACGTCAGATTGCATCAAGAGGACCGCCTTGTGGACGTTCCAGGTCTTGCCCGACGAGGACTCCAGAATGAAGTCGGTGGGGATGGCACCCTCTTGCAACCTCTTGAGGCCTGAAGTGACGGAATCGAAACCAGTTGGCTTGTGGAAAGACATGTTGTACCAGTCTTGCGCGGCCAGATCAGCTTCGGTATGTATGTTGTGATTGGAAACGTGCTGCTGTTGAGGTCATTTGATATCGGGGGACTGTTCGAAGTTGTGGCGTTGTTACTGGTGTTGGTGTTGGTGGAAGGTCGCAAGGGGAGTGTTGATGAAGTGGTAGGATTGTGTAGGTAAGTGCTTGCGAGTTATATAGGATGAGTCTATGTGTCGTGGATCGAGAGAGTTATGGGTTTGGAGCAGTTACGCCTGAGAGGCATTTATCCTCAATTCCATTCTCATCTCGAGAACGTCGAATGAATGGCATTGGCCTTGAATACGGTTGAAATTTGTCAATTATCCAACAATTGTTATTTCTCTTGGCGCTTCGTAGACTCGAGATAAGCATCAGGTCGTACGTAATAGTGCGTAGCTATGTAGGAAGAATATGTCTCACAGGACGCTCGAGAAACGGTCAACACTGTTGCCGCTTTTCTTACTCACACAGCCCCAGAGCCAGAGCATGAGCCTGCAACGCGCCAAGACAGAGTGTAAGACACAACACCAAGGAAAGGCATTGTAAGAAAGTAGCTGAGATGGAACAAAGAGACCTGAAACACAAAGATCAAGATTGATGGAAGGACAAAGGCTTGATGTCTATCCTGCATAAAGTCAAAGCTTTACTCGGTCCAGGTTTTCTAGGGACTATCAAGGAGAGTTCCAGTGGGAAGGGAATGGGTTTCTTTCTTGGCCTGAAGAATTATTCAAGGCTTGAGGAATACACCCTCCACCTACCGCTCTTTTCATAGCCCACATCATCGAACAGCTGTATGCCATTCCTGGACGCCATGTGCGATCCGCGTCCTATACCTCGCTCTGTTTCCATGAGCTCATACGATTCTGAACCAACCAACTGCGCACCCTCGTCCACCACTTTGAACACCGTCTTCCTCACCGACCCCACTCTCCTTATCCTCCTTAGACTCAACTCCAGGCTCTAGGACCCCGACTGCCTATTCTCCCCCACCATCTTCTGCAACACCGCCGACGCGAACTCCGGATACTTCCCAAACACCCGCTCCGTCTCCTCCGCCTTATGATTATGTGGCTTACGTCCACAGCACTCGACCATAATCTCCGACATCTTCTGCGGAAAGTCCTCCACCACTGCCGCCGCATCCAAGACCCACCCCAGCCATCGCAGATCCTTCAGCAGGTACAGGAAGTCGTCCTTAAACCCGGCGAGCGTGCTCTCGGCGAGGGTGGCCATATCGTACATGTCCGCCAGCTGCCAGAGACCCGTGAAGTAGACGACGCTGCCTTTGACGTCCTCGCTGTTGAGACCGCTGCCTATCGTGGGAGGTATGGGAAAGTACTCCGGGTGGCTGCGCATCTCGCCATACAGAAAGTCCACGAGCGCCTCGACGCAGCTGTCGTCGACATCTTGGAAGATGATGGTCTGGTTCTGGCACTCCCGGAAGTTAGGGGAGGTAGCCATGCGGTAGAGCGTGTTGGAATATATGAGCAGGACTAACGTCCATCCCCACGTCACGAGCTACCCGCTGTAGCGAGCCACGTTCTCGTTCTAAAACCCCTCATATTCTCCTAAGTGTGTATATAAGTATGTCTCTGCTACCGTAACAGTCTTTAACTATTTCTATATCTATAGATTGTCGCGTTATACAATAGTAGTAGTCCTTACTTTGCTGTCGATTAATCCGTTACCCCTACTAATTGTTTATTATTCGCTTTACCCCTTATCGGTTATAGGTAGAGGCTTATTATTAGATATCGGCGTGCTAAAACGAAACTTCAGCTACTAATAGATTTACTTACGAAGTCTAAAGTCCTTTTTTAACGTAGAGCGTCCGATCCGAGAGTTTCTCCGATAGAGGAGTACCTTTAGCGCGTATTATTATTTAGGGTAGATTAGCTCGCCGCTAGTAATATACTAAAATAATAGATATTATCTCTAGACGTTTTCCTTCTTTTAGATCTCTTTAGATTTCTTTTAGACGTAATAAGTCGGATTCTAGAAGTATCTATAGCGCGTTTTATTATTCCTAATCTATTTTTAGGTATATCTCGTAGGTACCTATAGCTACCCTCTTTTCCTAACCCTTTCTATTCCTCCTATATTCTAATACTATACCGTCGGCTAATATAGATAGGGCTAGTTAGGCACTAGTAGAATACAATTCCGCTAATTAGCCTATCTTATTTCGTATACGCGTAGATCGTAGTAATATACTCCGAACTACCCTCTAGTATTATATACGCGGTCGACGGTCGATTTAAGAGAAAGCCTAAAGCTAATAATATCTATACCTATAGGAAGAGAGAGCTATAGTTAAGTTCCTAGCGTACTAGGATACTCTTAGTTACCTAGTTCGAGTAAAGTATATAGGTTCGATAGCTTTTAGTCTTATACGCCGGCGGGCTCTAGCGGATAGGCTAAGTAGTCCTCCTAGTAAGAATTAGGCTTAACTATTCTATAAACGGTACTTAGAGCTTAAAGCGAGTACGACTAGCGCTCTAGACTAGAATCGTTACGATATTTATAATAAGGTAGTATACTAGTTTAAGGTTACTAGAGACCTTTTCT